TAATACCAACTAGTTTATTTTTCATTAAATTAACTAGTATAACTCAAGTAAGTTAATATTTAAAATTGTTTTTAACTAATTCTGAGGACAAACCTGGTTAAAAAAAAAAGGTACCTAATCTATTTATACAAAATAGCATAAACTTAATGCAGTTCAGTACTCATGCTCATTTTTAATTTGTATTTTTCTCAAAATGTGTGCATTTGAAAGTGTTTAAAAAAATGTTCACTATTTTATTTTGTAATATATTTGTGAATTGCTTTTTGATATAAATTAAATGCTTTTTTTTATTGATTATATTGCCTTCAAATCCGAACCCTACTTATCAGTATAAAATGTATTAAATCATAATATTACGATACGTTTTGATTTCAAATTTCGATGCATTTCATATTCACGCCTCCTCTGCATAGTGATTAGTAAACAGTACGCCTTGTTACAACTGAAACTTTCTTTTTAATAGTCATATAATACTTGTGATAATTCACGATGATTGATCAACAGAGTTCCTAAAAAAAATTGTACCTAAAATGTACACTGTTTATAAATACCAGTGGTAATTTTTCATATTGTTCCTAGTGTGATAGCTGTTAGTGAATTTTCTTTTACGATCAATATTTTGAAATCGTGATTAAAATTAACTAAACCTAACCCCGTACATATATACCTACACAATAGTATTACAAAATCCTACAAAAGTGATTAGGATTAACATTTAACGAAAAAACATAAGGATTTTGAAATTATAGGACAACTATCCGAATTTACAAATACATCATAATATTATCTACCGTAAAATATAACTATAAGCGACTTAGAGGAAAAATTAGCATAATTGATTAATACGAAAGAATAGTCTTTGTCAATTTTTGTCGCGTACCGACGGGGCTTAAGAAGTCACATGAAAACTGATTTTCATAAGAATAATGTAAACGTACACTAAAAAACTTTTTAGCAATTATTATTGTTATGAACGTCAATTTATTAAGTCGGTATAGCAGTCCCACGTTTGCACAGTTTAATTCCTTAAACATTAATATTTATCGAACTCAGATTTATTGTTCACACAAACCAGGGGTTCTCGTACTTTTTTGTTCGCGGAGCCCTTGTGTTCCTAAAAAAAAATTACGGATTCCCAAAACTCAGAGATGTCAACAATAAGAGGCAACAATAGTTCATAAATAATTATGTTAATTTAAAAAAAACATATTGTGGATTAATAAAATATAGTTTACAGTTTTAGACGTTTGAAATAATACATATTGGTACGGTCCAAACAATATTGAACACAAGTATACAGATTAAAAATGTACCCAACTCGGAAATATAATAACAATTTAATAATTTGAATTTAATTAATACGGGTAATATCAGCGCAGGGAGCCACGGAGCCCCTAGACTACTCGCGGTCTGAGAACCGCCGACGACATTGACATTTATTTTTCTGTCCAAATCAGGAGCGTTGACGACATTTAAAATTCCGTTTGTAATTGATAAAAAAAACAACAACGTCGAGTCGCTCGAATAGTTTTCAATACACTTTAGCTACTGCACTATTATTGATGTTGAGATCAATCTCAACCCGATTTTTCACGTGAACCGATTTGGAACGAGGATGTGGACGGCAATAATCGTGTCCGCATTACTATTTAATACGAGGTAGTCGTCGATATTGCAATTTGCAGGTATCGCAACTAATCGATTCGCTCGTCTCGCGGCTGAAATATAATACGAAATGTTAAATATTATTATAATTGCATTAGCGCGGTGTCGAGTAATACCTATGCAGATTTTATTTAAAAAACGTTTTCACCGGGTTCGACTGTAGATTTTTCGAAAGTATCGGACAATTCAAAAGTGCGCGCACGGACAGGGCTCTCGCGCGTAACGATCATCGGAGTCGACGCGAACAATAATTGACGACGGAACATCAAGGAACTGCGGGCATGAGGCACGAGGATGATATTATAATCGGACGGTTCTCGGATTTCGCGACGAGTGAACTATACGCGCATTCGAGTACCCGCGAGCGTGCACTGTTTGCCGGGCGCAGATGAGTTCGATTATTTTTACGATAAATATTTTAATCGCGACGATATCGCGGAGGCGTGTCTACCCACTTGGACCGCTTTATGCGAAATATGGCGGACCACTTCACTCTCGTGTACATATTATATCAATGATATCGAGGCGGAACGTCGCACGTCCGCCGAACCGAGATTAACCTCAAGACTTCCGGAACGCCTCTCGGTAAACTCTCGCGGCTGCGACGGATCTCCACCGCCGCCGCCGCCGCCGCCGCCGCCGCCGCCGCCGCCGCCGAATTCGTCACAAGAGCAAACCGACGAAAAACAAACTATACACACGCACCACAAGACTTGCGTACACGAATTATAATATCAGACTTATAATATCTGCACACATCCGTGCGGAAACCATATTATGTTGGTCCTCGACGAAAAAGGTCCCCGCGACGGCCGAAAAAAAAGAAAAAAATATCGAGACGGCCGCCGCAGGACGCGGCGGCGGCGTGTCACACACCTGTCGTCGAACGTCCAGCTGACGATGTACAACTTAGATCATATAATATATGTTACCGTCAATGTCGTAAATTCAGGTAGTGATGATATTGACTAGTTAATTAATATAATGCCTGGGTAACTACTTAGTCATTATCTATATAATCAACATATATTTGTAACATTGACTTGATAAATCAGACGATGTTATAATTTGATAAATTCACTAGTTATTATAACATATCCTATCGTCGTGTAGTCAATGTTATCTTTTATCGTTTTAACTTTAAAAACCCACGTTAAGATTGGGTGTCTGTTTTATAACGAATAATAATAGTTATCTTTTATAGTTTTAATACTCACGGCAACTAACCTAACATAAGTATTGTTACAGTCTACGTTGTGCTTTCGTATAATATAATTTAAAGTTTCGTATAGTTTTTCATTTCGAAAAGTGTTGAATTGTTTTATTAAAAAAATGAATTCAAATGAAATGCGTCAAAAATTTTACAAAGCATTATCTGATTTATTGAAAAATAAACGTGAAGATAATAAATCATTTTTAAACAAAGAAGAATATATGTTAAGATTGCAAGAAGTTAAATTAGCTAAGGAAAAAATTGGGAAGAAAAGTGCAAAGAATTACAGATACATTCGTAAGTATGATATAATAACACTCAATGGGCAAGAACTGAAGGATTTCAACGGTGCCACTGCAAAACAAAATGCAAAACAAATAAATGTACTTGTAGATCTAATAACCGGCTTTGTACATCGAAGTGCCATAACAGCTTATCATGCGAGAATAAGTGATACCCATACGTCATAATCAATAATCAACATACAAGTCTTAAAATAATAATTATTATGAAAAAATTAATTTTTTCTTATATTTTTTTTTTTCATTGTTTAATCTTAAATAGTAAATATAATATATTATATCTAAAATTATCAATGGCTATATAGTTTTAGTCAATAATGACAATGACTGGTCAATCATAAAAATTATGTATTAATATTAAATTTGTTCTATTATTGTCTATCTTAGTTAGGTATTCTGTAAAATGACTAGCCAATAATATCAATGCCTATGTAAAACAGTCAGTGTTAACATAGACTAGTCATTTTTAACAATACCTAATTATCATCATTGACGGTAATATATACAATTATACACTGGATAGAGCTATGGCTTAAAATCGTGAACCATATAGCTGTTCGAGCGCGAAGTCATCACTGCGCATGAGCAAAGACGTATATGATCTAAGCATTCAGTACCTACAATCGTCCTTATCACTACAAAACATTATTGTTCCTTCCCCGTCCCGCGCGATCTATTTCATTTCTCACGCGTGCGCAATAACTACTTCGGGCATGAACAGGTCTGCTTCAAACGCGGACTACGCGTGATATATAGTCGCTATAGCAGGCTGCTCTATCCAGTGTATATGATCTAAGATGTATAATATGTATTATGTTATCACGAAAACAATAACGATAAGCGATAAGCCCCGGCCGGAGCGAAACCGGAAAAACAAAATATATGCGGCGGCGGCGGCGGCGGCGGCGGCGGCAACAACAACAATAATATTATAACGACCGTGTAGCTGCAACAGCAGCCAATGATATCGTTCCGACGTTCCGCGCGCAAAATAACGGCGGCGGCGTAGTAATCGGCTTATCATTCATTCATACAATCCCGAAACGAGTGAAATCTATATTTCCGGCGGCGGACGCTTAAAACCCGGACGGGGCGGCGGCGGGGGGGTTTCGCGGTCCAGCGGGCGGCGGGCGCGAGTCTGCGTGCGTGTGCGCGTGGGCGTATGCGGCGGGTGTGTGTGTGTATGTGTGTGTGTGTGTGTGTGTGTGTGTGTGTGTGTGTGTGTGTGTGTGTGTGCGGGGGCGTAGAGAAGTGCGTGCGACTCGGCTGCGGCGACGGTGGTTGATGCCGCCGCCGCCGCCGCCGCCCGAGCGATAACGGAGCGAGCGCCGGCGGCGGCTGCGGGACCGAACGGCACGGCGCGATAAAAGCCCGCCACCGTCGTCGGGTGCGGGTGCGGGGCGGCCGCGGTCGGGCGGCGGGAATCGCGACCCCCGGCTAAAAGTGCGAGTGGGTCGTCCCGCCACCGCCGCCGCCGGCTAAAAGCTCCCGGAGTCGTATATGTACGCAACACGCTCGCGCGACGGAGTCTCTCTCTCTCTCTCTCTCTCTCGCGCGCGCGCGCGCGCGCGTCGAGAAGCACCTGTTGTAGATCGCTGGCGCGCGCGAATTTCCTGCCACCGCACCCGCCCGTGCCGTTTCCGCCTTATCAACCCTCGCGGGGGGCGCGCGCGCGACGACCACCCCGTATCACCACCGGTGGTCACCGGCCCGTCGCGATCGTCGCGGTGACGGCGGCGGCGGCGGCGGCGGCGGCGGTGTCTCGCTCTCTCGGCGGCTCGCCGACGGAACCGTTTCGCCGCCGCCGAGCCGTTCAGTACGCCACAGGACACCGGAACATCGGCACGTCGCCGCCCTCCGTTCAACGCAGGACGCCACCAACGAGCACCGTCCCACCGTCACATCACATCCCGGCCCTCGCCCTCACCCCCACCCCGCACCGTACCGCCGCCGCCGCCGCCGCCGTAATCACCGACTCTGTTCTGATACGATTCAGTCGAACACACCGCCACAACAACATACTACTCCACCACCACCACCGCCAACCGCGTCCGGAGGCTCTCCGGCGACGTGTCAACATTGAATCATCACACAAACACCGGAGGTAAACAGGATAACAGTTTTTTTTTTTTAATAGATTTACGACATTTTTTTAGGGCATTTAAAAAAAAAAAAATCGTGTTTTTTTTTCGAACAATTATTATTATTACGTATCGCAGTATATTATAATATTCCGTTGACGGTTACAATATAATATAATATAATATTATTGTACGGTTGATGTCGTCATAATACGGTTTATGCGGTACATCGGGGGAGAACCTGGTACTCTGGTGGTAGCATAGGTACCAGTATACTGCAACACCTAATTGTAATTATTACGAATCACGCGAGTGTTTGAAGCCTGCCAATGCGGGTTTTCAGAGCAAAACCTTTAAGTAGACGAGCCACGTGCATCGCGATCGGCGATTACCACGTTCGTCGGCGTACGGTATTTTTTAAACTATTTTTCGCCATCGCGTTTAATACGAGTATAATCGCTATAGTTGATTGAAAAGTTTGTTAAATTGTATATTATACAACACGTCGTATTATGTAGTAGTGGTGTCACGAGCCGCTGAACACAAAATTCCAAAGACTTATTAAATTAGGCGTCTGACGGCGACCAACAAAATCGTACTGAATCGTAAACGAATATTCAAAAAATAAAAAATAAAAAATGCGAACAAGTGTGCACCGCCCCGCCGTAGGTATAGCTGCAGTGTCCACTGCAGTGCTATTGTAACTGTTATTATTGTTACGTACCTATGCGTGTCAAAATTTTAATTAAAAGATAAATCATTGCATGCGAAAAACGGTTCTTAACGGTTTTTGTACCATGTCAATCATACTTGGATAAATAATCAAATTTATAATCAATTTCGAAAACCGTGTATTTGGTGAAAAAAATTTAGTTTATTTTAAAATTTTTAAAAATGCTCATTTTTTCTTCACACTTTCGAAAACAAATTTTCAATTTTGACTTCCTGAATGCTCCAACTATAGATTCGGTTTCCTGTCAGAAAAGCCGCTGAAGTCAAAAGCAGCTGAAACCTCCCTCTAAATGTCAGTCGACGGACAGACAAAAAACGCGCATCATTGTAAAACCAAATTATTCATACTATCAGAACGTAAAAAATGGAATTATTATTCCGATGAATATTTTATAATATAATTATATTTTCGTATTGACAGTTACGTATTAATTTCATCGGCTTGGTATTTTTTAATAGTCCGGTTTGGATTGGATTCCGATAAAAATTTCAAATTTTTTTCGGTTCGAGTTTGTTAAGTTTAAAAAAAAGTTTCAGTTCATAGCACATAATCATATCATAATGCATTATACGGTTTTTTGAGATGTATTGTTGTTTTACGTATCGTAAATATATTATGCCTAGTCCGTACCTTATATTGTGTATTGCTGAGATACGAATCGATGTGTCAATATGTTGCAATATCATTTACTAAAATATGCTAAATAGGTATTACAATACGATACAGAATTCGATATTAAACATGAAATAATTATTAAATACAATTATTTTATAAAATTTTAAAGAGGTATAGTAATGGTTTTTTTTTCTAATCAAACGAAAATGTATTATTATAATTAATATCATATTGTTGTATAGCTATATTGATTTCCTTTTAAATGACTGTGATGATTGGCTTTTAAATTGTTTTAAATGAATGCAACTATAACGCACCTATTTGTTTATATTAATTAACTATTTGTATAAACATTATTATAAGACTAAATAACGATGCGTCATTTCGCAACATTTTTTTTTCCCGACATTTTGTAGTTCCTCAAAGTCTCGTATATCACATCGCATTATAATATTATATCCTTTGAGAATGACCTCCATTTTTTTAGATTTTTCAGATTTTTTATTTATGATCGTGAGATGCTTTAAAACCATTTTTTTTTTCAACAAATCTATACTTTACATTTATACACCTACACCGACAATAATCTTCTTTCGTACTGTGGTTCATAATGCTTATTGTTAATATTATTTAACCACTGTCGTCCAATCTACTGCTGCTGAGGAAAACTGAACAAAAAAACAGTCTTTTGTTTCACTTCGTTTTTCTTTGAAAAAAATTCATTGACGTGGAACAACTCTTCCCGCATAATAATTTTTCCGTCTATAAATAAACCGGGTCGTATATATTTTGAATTTTTTTCGGTGAAATTCAATTGTCGTCGGATTCTTTGTTGAACATATTTTAGTTCGCACACTTCTAGTTGAATGTTTTTTATTTTTTTTGTGCACAAAAATAATATGGTTATTTATTAATTTTCAATTGTATTTTTTTGCCCTATTTTACTGCAGACGCGACAACGGATCAATTAATATCAGGTGAAAACAAAATATCGAATCTCACTACAAATGGAAGCCAAACTCGTACCTATCCGTCGCAGACGTTTATATTTTTCTGGCACAATAATATTTATATCCAATTTTAGAAATAAAATATTACTTTTTCAAAATGTAATTTTGCAGCTGTCTGGGTTATTATTATTGTTTCAAAGTTGCCGACAATAACCCAAGTAGTATACATGAACCGATCGTTTTTCGGAGTATTTACCACGATTATCAAATAACGATTTTAACCAATTGTATTTACCTGTTCTAATGAAAGGAAAAAAAATCTCAACTTGCAGAATATAAGAGAAATGTAATAATTCGTACTCAGCTAAAAAAAAACCTGTCCAATCGGAATAAAAGGTTTTTTGGTGAGTACACCTGCGATTTGTTGTACATTTTAATGTTGTGATCGAACGACGGAGAGCTATCGAAGTATCTTTTCTTATTCTCAACAATATTTCAAAATTTTGAGGGATGATTTTTGAAAACATGTTTTGATCTTGCATTTCGTTTCTAATAAGCAATAACAATGATAACTCATCCCCTTTTTCTGCAGCGAACTGCAGTCTCGCATGGTTTGAAACCGTTGTAATATTTAAGTAGTCTGACGCGACGGAAAAGCTTAAAAAAAACGATTTAAACCATAATATTACAATGTGTACCACACAATACACCTCACGTGCGCCAACAATTATAATAATATCATTACAATCATATTTCATATTTTTACGATTTTGTTGTAAACGTTTTTTTTCCTTCGCGACGACCTTTACTTCAAAATGGTCTTCGGCCTTTTTTTTCTAAATATAAATTTATACAGTTAGTAGTAATTTCTTTTTCCGAGTGAAATTGCATTCCAAGTCACGTAAACCATAGACCGCCGACGGTTTTTCCTCAGCACAAAAAAAATATACGGTGCACCTATACAGGTTTTTTCGATGCTCCTTATCAACTGTCTGCATCTTATAAACAAACATTTTTGTGCAAAAAAACTTTTGGAAAATGTTTTTCTTGGTTTTTCTAAAAAAAAAAAAACTCAAGTTCATGTCATAAATATTTCTCTATGCTTACGCTAGTTTCTATACTCACTTCATGCAACATAATTGTGTTTTGATAGTATATTATTACATTTGAAACGTCTACAGCAGTGAGTACGAATTATATTTTGTGAAGGCATATTAGGCCAAAGCGATATGGGCGTGGTAAAACAAACAGTTGGGAAAATACCGTGTGACCCATCTTGTTTACACGAAAAAATATTTTCGTCCGCCTAGCTGCTCATTGCCAGGTCAGTTTCCCTGCAGTTTGCGTGCTAGCAACGTTTTTATTTTTCGTACGAAAAATCATCAGTCAAATGGACTGAAAACGAATATTTTTTCTCTAGGCACTTGTACGTGAATTATCAACCTTGGTACTTTTTTCAACTTATTTTTACCATATACGCCAATACTGCTGAGGCTATCGACATTATAAATTTCAAATATTTATGTCAACAATTTCGTGTATGATACACGAAAGGCTTGTGTTAGTTTAATTAACTGCGATTCGTCTATATGTGTGCACGACACATTTTCTGAACCAGGTTCGTTTCTTTGGACGGTAGTCGAAGTCGAATCGACGTCGTCTCCGTTTTGGGCGCTAGCGATTCACATATTGCAGGTTGCAGGGGAGCATCGGTCCATCCATTGGGACCCTTTTGGAGGCATTCTCGAGCGGTTACGATCGGTTAGGTATCTCGTGTTGTGTATATCGACAGGCTATGGCGAATATTATTGGCTCTTGCGATAGTCGGCAATGAGGTGGGCGCGGAATCGGTACGCTGGACCTGCAGTCGCCGAGAAATAAATTTGTCGATATTCATTCACGGTGGCAATGCACGCGACAACTGAGGAACATTAACTGGGAATTAATATAATATAATATGGACTTCGGCGTGGTGGCCAGGCCATATACCGGGGGCGGTTTTCGGTCGGGTTTTCTGGCATTTCACCAATAACACGCCTTCGAAAAATACGACGCAAATGTTCAAGTCGTAATTCGCTCATACTTTTTTCGGGTCTCGGTGATCCGTAGAAAAAAAAGTTTTAGTTGAATTAAAAGTACCTACCTACAAATATCGATCGACCAGCCTGCGCGATGACGAAGTACAAAGGGGCGATAGTGAGAGACACCACATAATAATTATAAATATTAAAACACAAAGTGATTTCGATTAATACTGTGTTATGCCGCACAAGAACCGGAAATCAGAAAATAATAACGATATTTTATTGTTTCCATGGAACGTCGCATTCCTGTGGTTTGTTTTGCGTATGATTTGACCTTTGGTATATTAAAAATATTAATTATATCCAATACCCGCATTCGTGTGGTAAATAATTATTATCCGAGTTTACAATAATTCTTGAAATATTTCTATATTATGCCATCGAATCGTGGATGAAAAAGATTGCATTTTGATGTTCTTGTTAATTCGATCATAATATGATATTCCACGACAAACATTAATTTAGGAATAACCGGAACAACACGTTTATGTGAACACATGTCAGTCAATCAACCAACATAACCACAGTGTAGGTAGGTGGTTGCATTATGTTTGACACACAAACGCCCACTAACAATACAGTAATAATTCCAACCCATTTTTTTTTTTTTTTTATTAGTTAGCTTCCAAGTATTTACGATA